AGAGTGGCCAAAAAGAAGGGGGATGTGTGTGGGGGTCTTTGTGTGTGGGGTGGGCAGGGTTTATAAAAAATCTAGAGTAGCAAACTGGATGTCTGTTGGGGTAGATCTGCAAAAAAGAAAAAAGAAACCATGTCCCCTTACGCAAAGCAGGAAAGGCTGGCCAAACTGTGTCCTTCCAGACGTTAACTAGTTGGAAATGAGTAGAATAGGTAGGAGTAAATGGTAAACTGTAAGATTTACAGGAAAGTCATAAAAGCAAAAAGAGGCATTCTTAATGGTGGTAATCACAGAGGGAAGGTACTACTCATAGAAGAACATGCAAACTGTTTGCCACAGGAAGAAGCACACCCTTAAGAGATCTGCTATGGGGCCAGACACCTGGAAATCAGATCTTCCATTCTTTAAAGGACTAGAGACCAGCACGGAACGTGGGCACTGCACACAGAGAGGAATGTGGAGGTCTGTGGATATTAATGAGTTCAGTGTGCTGCTGGATGGTTTATTAAATGAAGAGAGGAGACTGAGCTGTTTTGCTTTCCACTTCAATGGGCAGCTTCTTTGCTGAAGACCACGGTGCCTAGCTGCATTAAGAGAAGTAGCATAGAAAATGCTAAATGCAAGATGCTTTGTTTTGACAACTGTGTATTGCTGTTTTCCTGTCTTTTAAAATAATCTCTATTTCTGACGTTTTGAAGAAAGTAGCCTATTTTGCTTAGCACTATAGTCCTGAATGTGGATCTTTATCAGAAGCAGATTTACCAGTTCATAAACTTTAGGTGAATCAATTTAATTATGCATAAAATCAACATGAAACATCTGAACAGTTGTCAGTAGTGCTCATGTTTATTAATTAATTTAATTTTATATGTCTGCAAATACTATTTATTCTACTAATATTTTACCAGTATATTTCCAAAAAATAACTATTCCATTTTATTCAATTGCATTTAATTTCAATTGCTCATTAGTATACAGGATTTCTTTACTGAAACTAATTTAATTTCAATAAGGGTAGACATTTCTTATATGGTGTATATAGTGAATGTGAGGAATTTTCAAGCCCTGGGACATCTTGCAATTTGTCTGTTCTTGTTGCATTGACTACTTTTCTCTAAGTAATGAATGAGTACTTCATGTCTGACTTAACATTTATGGTCTTTTGATGAAAATAAGGCATCTTTTATTTATCATGCTTTCTTGCAGCTTAGTTCGTTTTCTCTGCTAGTCAATACAGAATATGTATTTTCCATTCCACCAATAAACAGTTCAGAATACTGATTATTTTTCATGGTTTAACTAAAAACTCTTCACATGACTCTCTTTAATAATACTCAAATACAATAGCTATAAAGGATAATCTGATAATAAAACACTCAACTGCAGGTACCAAAAAAATCTTTAAAAAGCTACTTAATGCAAGCTAGTTAATGAAAACTTACATGAAAACTCTGAATTTGTAGGTGTTCATATAATTTAAATTCAGATTAAAACAACAGCAAATGATAAAATGTGGACTTGAAAGGACAACTGGAAGTGTCAACAGTAATGAAACTGTGCTAAAAGTTTTATTCAGAAAACCAAGCAGAAACGACAACACAGGGCAATTAATAAGTTTCAGCCAAAGTTAAAAAAAATAGTAATTGAAAAACCTTTTTTAACATCAATAAAGAGTGGCTAGGACTTTTGTCTGTCTTCTTGAACATTTCCAGTTATATGATACTATGATAGTGTACTGATGTCTTCTGTTTTGTTCTTACCATGCCCTCTCACTCTTTTTTAACATTCTGTGTGCTTTTTGGACTGAAACTGCCTAAAGTGAGGTGTCCGGAGAGCCCTCCAAGCTCTTTCCTGACTAGCAAAGCTAACTTAGATTTCATGCTTTTCCCTTACAGTTAAGAATAGTTTCTGTCATTCGCATGTGTGTTAGTTGACAGATAAAATTTTCTGTTAATATAATGAAATTTTATTGCTCAATCATCAGGGATCTGATACTTAAAATATCACTTTCTCACTTTAAACATCGGGTGAGAAGGCTTCCAAAAAAGTTTCTCTTGAATATATCAACATTCTTATTATTATAAAAGGAAAAGTTCAATAATATTAAATAAAATTATTGCATTATCTTTCAACAGTTAATGACAGCAATTAAAATGAAAGTTTTAGCAAAATGAAAAATTTCATCTAGCTCCCATAAAAAAGGTGAATTAGTACAGGCAGGAAAAAGCTCTGCCATGGTAAAAATGGCTCTAGCAGAGATATTAGTTACATGCTAGCTCATCCATCACAATCGTGCTCACTCAGTAAGTAACCTTCATGATAACCTCCATTTTGCGTCACCTCTCCCATTACAACAGCATATTAATTAAACCATTTTCTTCCCCAACCCTAGCCTTCAAGAGGAAAATTCTTTGGAAGGAAAAATAAAAAACTTAATTGGAAAATGTCTAGTGGATGAAAGAAACGTAAACAAAATGTTACTGTCCCTTTCTACATACGTGCCCTCTAAAGAGCACACCTACAGACCTGTGATCTTATCTGGCACACTTCTGGACACTTTTACTGTTTGTCACAGAAATGAACTATGACAATGGCATTACAAGGGTCAAAGAAACAACAGCATTCCCAGTACCCTTATTTATGCACATTAGAAAAGCAAGTAACAGTCTTTCTCCAGTTTTTGACTCCTGCTTTACGTTTCTCAACCTCTGTTTTGATTTATCTTCACTACACGGAGGTCACTGGAGAGAAAGAGGATGCACAGCAGGTTGTGTTACTGTTCCACTTTATTGATGCATGATGCTTCATAGAGGACTTATTTGTTTGTTCAGTGCCAGAGAACAGAAACAATTTAGTATATTTGACTTTTTTTTTTTTTTTTAAAGTAGGACAGTGAAGTTGATGTTTGAGTTCGTGCATATAGCGTTAAAACAATTTCAGTTTTTAACCGTTGCTTTAGGCATGCCAACAAAAACAGTCTTTCTTTTTTTCTGCCAGATCATTAGTATGCATCGTTAGTACTGTTAAAGGCAAAGCTTTACTAGCCTGAGGACAAATTATCACATAAAGACTGATCATTTCAAGGTGAAATCTACAACCAGTGAAAGTAAAAAGACAGACGTATTTCACATCTTAAGATATATCTACACTGGGATCAATTGATAGGACATGGAACTCCTTGGAAGATCCTAAGGAACAGACAAAAAGATTAATATATATATGCATATATAACTGAAGTTAAAATGCAGGATATTAAATTAAAAGGGGAAAAAGAAAATAACTGAGTTTTTATACTTGGTCCTCTTTAGTGTTTTGCACATTCACTTCATTAAAAATTGAGAAGAACTATGCACATAAACCAAAGAGGCTTCTCTTAAGAAACACTATGGCAGTGTCATGAAAATGATATGGTTAAGATCACTGAAGTGTCAAAGAATCAATAGTATGTTTACTTAAAATAACACAATAGAAAATAAGGTCAGAGCTACTCAAGAGACCAAAAGAAACCTGAAACATTTAACACTGGAAAGGACCAGATAAGTAAATTACACATTTGGGAAACTAGCAAATGAAATTTGATAATAACAAAGCAAAAGAATCAGTTCTAGTGGCAGTTTCCAGTGATTCTGCATTGAGTGAGGATTTCAGATTGAATGATTAATTTATTCCCATGAAAACATAAAGAATCTAGGACAGTTCAAGTAAGCCTGCGTAAGATCTTGCTAATTCTGCAGGAGCAGTAACATTATAAAAAAACCAACCAAAACTGTGTAGCACTTTGCTAGTTATTAAATGTTTCTCATCTACTTATGCATTCACAGGGCTCATTCTTTTATGAATTTACTTGATGGGCGTTACTGATTAGTAAGTTGTGATAGTGAATCTACTTAGCTCCTTAAGACAGAATTTGGTTTATGGATCTAATAATTCCTTCATAGTAAGGACATGATGCAGCATGATCTCATTTTAACAGTGACGAATCATTCTTTTCAGTACTATCCTGTATTTATTTTATTTATTTCTTCACCAGCTTTAACATACTAATAGGTGAACTTCTTTTCCACATGGATTACATATCAAACTAAATTTCTTGAAATGAAACTTTTAGTAGAGTTCAGAAGGTCTCTTTCCCTCTTCCCTCCACCTCCAATTCTTGACATCCATTATTCTTAGCTTAGATACTAACAGAGGTGTACAAAATCTACACAGGGCTCCAACTTCTGCTAGACATTCCAAAGAAAAGATGTCTGATATTTCACTAAATACAGGTTCAATTATGGGGGGGGAGGGTGTGTGTGTGTGTGGAAATAAATCCATCCCATCCAAAATTTACAGCAAACAGATTAGCAAGAAAAGAGGGAAACCCCCAACATTATTTAAATTAAGATTCTTAAAGCTTACAATACATGATATTATAAGGTATGTAGTGGACCTAACCAATTAGGTCTGCAGTAACATCAATGATATTGTGTAGGCATGACAACTCACAGAGCATACTAATATTCACAAGGTACTGTTCAACTTCAGACATCCTAGGTATCATACAGCAGTCAAAAAACCCTAGTGCAAACATTCATAAAAGGTCTGGAAACTGGCACAGTCATATAAGCATGTTGTTAACAGGTGGTAAGAACATTCCTGAGATGAAAGAACTACAAATGAACTAGTACAACTGTCAGGTTTTGTTTAGTAGCTGTTAAATTGTATGGCAAGGAACACAACAACAACTGCTTTTTCCTTTTTTAGCAAACTTGTTATGAGAAGATGCAAGTGAGCTCAGACCATGGCTGACATTCTTTGGCAGTGCTTCTCAAGTGAGCTTACAAGCTGCAGATCAAACTCATGATTCCTTATTCTTTTAAGTTTAGGGCTTAAGTACTTAATGGGAAGTACTTAAGTACTTAAGTTAACCTCCCACTCAGCAAAACTGGATCATGTCTTTCAGGCTAGTCAGTCAAGCTAGAGGATGCTGAGGGGCTGTACACACCTTCCCAGATGGCAAACTACTAACTCCATGCTGATGAAATTTTGCAATATGATACTACTGGGCTCTTCACAGACCTCTTTACTTAGCAGAGATGAATAAAAAGCAGGAGCACACCTCTGCATATTGCAAAGGTAAGAGCTTTCTTGTCTTGAGTATGATGTTATTAAATGCTAAAACTAATCTGAGGTGATCTAAACTAAATGTCTATTAATCTGCATAAAGAGACCAAGCTCAGTAAACAAGAAAATAGTTCTAAAATCTCACAACAAAACCTAACAGAAAAATTTTATGTATTAGCTCGAATGTTAGACCTAATTTGGCTTTGTAAGGCTGAATCCTTACTAGTGGAACATAACACAGAATAAAAAGCTGGCTGCTGCACTGATCACAAGACCCAGTCATAGAAATTAACACTAAGAAGTATCTGAGAATAAGTGCAGAAGTATTCCTTGTATGATTTTTTAACAGTGGCTGTAAAAACAATAGAACTGTTAACTTTAATAGCTACAGTTCTCCTGTTCTCTACTTACTTAAAAATAGAACTTTGTGAATCTGTTGTACTAATGTTTCCCTTACGTATGTATTAGTTGACATTTCATCATCCCAGATCTTTCAATAAAATGTTACTATATCTACACTGCAACACGTCATCCACTTACTCTTTCATATATGGTAATAGTAATGTTGTCTAATATTCTGTGAGGGATTAGTCTAGTAGTTTATAGAAAATAATTTCACTGGCAATAAGGAAAACCTAATTTTTTTTAAATGCACTGTGGCCAACTAGAGGGCAGAAAACAGCACTTGGGTATTATCCCTATTGTAAAGCCTAACATAACACGTTAAGACTATGTTAACTGTATACATATAGAGATAGATATAGATCTCTACAGGAAAAATATTTAAAAAGGAGCAAAGACTGAAGCAGTGGGAAGAACAGCATAGTTTCAAATAGGATCAAAAGTCAATGGAACAAAACTGCTAATCCTGGAGAACAGAACAACAGGAAAATGACTCTTCCTCAATAAAAATATTTCGCCAATCTACAAAACAAAGCTTTGAAAGAGAAAAATCAACAGGTCTCTGTTCTGTTGCACAAACTTGATGACTCAGGAAATGTCACTGTATTGCTTTTATCACTAAAGATTTCCTTAACTGCACCTTTCTTTTTCCTCTAGCTAGCCTTTTTCATGTACATCTGCAAATGGAACCAGGATCATAAGAAAATGCTATGGGCCATCTGTTTCTGACAGGCTACTATAAAAATGCAACAGATCAGCAAGATGATGTGAATCTTAAGTCTAGACTACATCTGTAGGTGACCTCCCAGCAGAAAGCATCCACCTACAAAAGGCAACGACTGTATTTTCTTTACTGTTTTTCTGCTTTTTCTGCTTGTCAGACAAATTACATGTTTAATTGATAGCTGTATATATAATTAAGAAAAACTATAACCCTTTCTTTCCTCTCTCATGTGGCTGACAAAAGAAGACCGTGCTTTTAATGATAATTCATAGCTTAGCACTGTACACTGCTTTGGTGTTTTTGTGCCCTGACTCATGTACATCTTAAAGATACACAAATAAATATCTAATAAAGGTCTATAAACTCAAGCACATGTTTTCTTTTGCAATTTTCACGGGGCACTGTGTATGCAACATGTCTGGGCTCAAACCCATTTAATTGGTTTGCATTAACAGTCATGCTAACAACATTAGCTTTCCAGCCACTTTTGGTTTGCTTGAATTAATTACCATTTTTCCTGCTTCTTCCACCTCCCATAGACTTCAGTGGTAAAAATTAAAGATTGTTTACCCGAAAGCTATTCTTAAACTTCTACAAAGCTACTAAAACCTATAAAATAAGAATTTAATGAGAGATTACCTGTATGGGTAGCCATGGTATTTGGAGCGAAATATCGACAACAGGAAGCTGAAGAAAAAGACCACCAGACCCAGGCCTACCAGACATATTACTGGAAAGAAAATAACTTTGTTTATTAGCACATAAAAGATTTAAAACTGAAATATCTACAAAAAATATTATGTATGTCAATCATTTATGGAGAATTTTGACACAGTTTAATACAAAAATGTTACTGTCTTGACTACTGATGCCCAATATCTTCTGACAGGGTTTCAAATACATATGGAAATAATATTTATGGTTATTAGGAAAAACCAACTTGTCAGTGTGAATGTATTTTCAAGAAAAAAGAGCAGAAATTTTCAACTCCAATGTATGTGGTTGCAAACACCTTACTGCTGATAATGGATTTAATAACCTTGTAAATTATACATATCAAGTAACATAATTTCAGGTATTTGCTTGTTCTTTTTGGAAAACAAATTACATTTAGAATAATATCCCCTGACTAATGGAATCATGTTCTCTCTAGTCAACCGTCTAAGGCTGACGTAACAGCCAAGGCAGTTTAGTAACTACTTCATCTAGTTCTTACTGGCTAAAACATTTCACTGTTGTGAGTTCCAAGGCTGCTAGCCAAATCATTTTTTACTCTTCATAGCGATATAAATCTTTAGGTTTTGAAGATAAATAACAATGATGTAGACCTTCTGACAGCATCCAGATGCAAGCGCTTTGAGCCTTTTCAGGCAAAGAATGAATTAGCAAAGTAAATGCTTAAATTAACAAATAAAATTGGAACACCAGTTGGCACCCTGTGTAATAATAGCGTAAAACCTTTTCCATCATGATAGCTCGCTCAGTTGCATGTAAATGGATAAAAAAAAAAAAGGCAACATGTTACAAACTGATGCATATAATTGAGATGCAGCTCATTTACATTAGGGAATGTTTTGGTTCTAGTGAGCTACTTTGATTTTAAAAGCTTCTCTTCTTATACCATTCCTACTTTAGCCAAGCCTTTGCTACTTAATTGCAATATTCATGCCTCAAAAGTGTGTTGGCTTTGAGTGAAGGATGAGCAACCATGGAGCATGGGAAACTGACAATGACACATTTTTTCATTAAAACTGACCATGTGGAAACTGACACACATCAATTGAAATATAAAATTTCTGCAGTTATTTTGAGAAAACTAGCCATGTACAAATCCTATAAACACACTTCATTATAAAGAAATCAACACTCACAAATATGATTTCAAAGCATGGATGAATAAATTGCAAAGCATGAACAGTGCAAGGCAGGTACACAGAAATCGTTTACATAATGGCCACAAGCAGAAGAGACTCTGAATTTGTGCTGCAGCCCACTGTTATTTTGCTGTGTTCATGTTTACAGACCAAGATCTCAATTGTGATCTAAAATCATATTCCAATTAAACTCATGTCACTGTCTCTTTTGACATCAATATTAAAGCTAGATACTGTAAAAGATATTCAGAATTAAATCATATGTCTACATCTCATTGAATTAGACCCTCAAATCACTATAGATTAGAGATCTCTAGCCAATGTTCAACCAGCAATTGTGAAGAATTACAGAATGCTTTTATAGAAAACAGTTGGCCAGCCCTATCTGCAATACTGTGTATTACAGAGAAGAACCCAAGGAACTGATCTAGAAAGAAAGAGGAAGCAGCATAGGAAGTCTGGTATCTTTCAAAGGTCTTCAATGCCTTATACAAGAAAAAGAGGCAGGAGATATGAAAAAACATATTATAAAAGGTACAAAGGCAGATGGGCATATTTGTTTCAAGCTGTGTCATACACAGTAAAAGTTTGTTTGACATAACAGTTTGGAAGTTTAAATCTGGACAAAATACTTTTGTATTGTGTGTTTATACAATCCATTGCCAAAAAATCTTGCAAATATTCTGAATGACAACAATATTCAGAAAAACATAAAACCTGCACTTCAGGCTAAGAATCTGTAGACATTACAAATTAGGATATGTTCCGTACTACATCTACTGTTGGGCTTTCACCTTCCTCCAGAGAGGATACTGGCAAAGTGTACCAAGTAAAAGAATTTTCACACTCCTTTGGATGTTGTAATCTTAAGCATCTTAAATGCTTAAATTCATTTTGAAAACAATGTTTTGAAACTCTTGTTTTTTGTATTGCTGACTTGCAATATAATTCAAGAGCCAAAAAGCATTTAGGCAGTACTATGTAGTGGAGATACCGTGTCAAGCTGTACCTTGGCTGAGTATACTTAGAACATTTTTTTACAGTTACAACTTCATGTGAACACAGTTTTATCAACAGAATTTTTATACTCTCCTCCACCCCACAAAAGATAAAAACTGGCTTAAGGTAAAGACCTTCTGAAAACTTCATCAGATATATACTTGTAATTTCTCAATGTCTTCTAATTGTCTAACCATTGCCTTAGTTGTACTAAAAAAACTTACTTCTCCTTTTTCCAACATCCCCTTTGGAGGTAGCAGCTTCATTCAGGAGTACCATTCCCATGGTGATAGCAGCATCTGTATTGCCATTGTCAAGGAAAACAGCAGATGTGTGGATACCTCAGAGAGCCACAAAGGTACATCTATGAACTAAAGCTGTCAAGTTCATAAAATGAAAGAAAGCATTTATATATGAAACTGTGTATCACAATTTGTACAGTATCAATACACTCCCCTGTGGCAAAAATGAGTAGTAAGATTTTCCTTTGTGTATTCTAGATAAAAAAGGAAAGAAGGTTCAAAAAGCTTTAAAGGACAAGTCATCAAGTAGGACACAAATTTTGGACAGTTATGTAAATAGCTATTCCCCGATATCTTACAATATGCTGTATATTGGTAGTAAAGGATTTTTAAAAATGAGAACTATAAGAAGCAGAAATCCTTCAGTTATTGTACACAATTCATTGGTTATTTGATGCAAGCTGAAGCAGCTGGACCGCTTTATTTTCCTCCGCTTCTAGGTAAGACATTAGCTCCCTCTTTAGTGTCATATTGCTTAATAGTTTAGAAGAGAAACATCTCAGAGGCAAAGTCCTCAGTTACTTTCAGTGTTTTATTGTCTTCTTATAACTGTTACAAATGTGAACAAGTACATAATGGTGAAATAATTTAACTAATTTAGCAAGATCTTAAACCATTCACTTAATTGTTTATTTGAAACTGTATAAACAAAAAGGAATGGTTACTACTGTGCATAACATCTGTTCTGAAGAGGAGGCATGCCTGAATGCCATACTGAAGCAGGAATGCATCGTGGGAGCTATATCTCACAATTTCAGAAAATATGAACTTCACCAGAGTTAACTGACTCTTGAAAAAGGTTGGATTTTTAAGCATTACATATCCCATGGCTAGGCAGCAGGATGACTACAAACTTTAAGAATGTTGTTTCTATTTATGCACACAGAGAATTCATGAGAGATACTTCAAACTTGCTACATCCATAAACAATATCTGCATCCTGTAACATTATACTTGCACTAATCCTATCAGTGTTCACATTAAAATTTTTCATATTAGAAATATTCAAAATTAAATGAAAATTCTCAAAGACACCTGAAATTTCAGTTATACAATTTCTGTTAAGATGAGCCTGAGCAAAAGGAGTTAGAAACGTCAATGCTAATATCACTACACTTCATCAGAGATTAGCATCCTGATTCAGGTTTGAGACTTCCAAATTTCATATACATAGAATGAGAAAAGTCAAATAAAGAATAACAGGATTTTAAAAAGCAAACACTGATGGTAAAAGGAGGTAGATGTCAATAGGCAATGTCAAGGAAATAGAAGTTTTAACACCACCTCTTCGATATATATATATCTACCTACAGTCCTAAATTATACATTAATTAAAACCACACTAATTAGCCCAAATTATTTTCTCACACATGCACAAGGTATAAGGCATAAGGTCGCTCTTATGAATAAATGGTTATATTCAAATTTTCTAAAAGCTTATTCCTGGTCTTGACAAAACAGGGAAAAAAAAATTTGAAAAGTATTGTAAAAAAAGCCAACCCTGGAATCTATGAGACTATGCAACTGGAAAGGGAAGGTAGAAATTACTTTCTTAAAATTTTGCCTATTAAGATTCAGATTCATGAGCACGAGAGATACTGCTATGCTCTGAATAGGAAAAAGAATTAGAAAGAGTGTAATGAGAATCATTCAGTTCTCTGCTTTCAAAAGTTACAAAAGCATAAAAATTAATTGATTGAGGAAGCTGCAACAAGGGCTGAGAAAAAAAATTCCACATATATTCCTACCCTATTAAGAAAAGCCCCTAATGTAGCATTATCTAATAACTTTAATTTACTAATCCCTCACTTCGATTTACAGTAGTGCTTTTGTTCTTAGTTTGACTGAGTCATGGGAAAAAAACAGCCCCAAAATGTGATGGTAACTCACCAGACCCTCTCAGGGAAGTGCTGCTTTACAAAGTTTCTGGACTACTTTGTAAATGGAATCTATTCATTTGATTATCTCATTCAATATTATATATAATGTGGTCCTTCGCTTTTTCCCTTACCTGAGAAACCAACCAACCAACCAACCAACCAACCACATACTAAGAAGCCAGGTTGGTAGACAAGCATTCTGTAACTTAGTTCTTATTTTCTTACCAGACCATGAGTTTAATTCACTCTTCTTACCATCAGGAATAACAGTTTCACAAAAGTAACTGTTTGCCCTGCAACTGAGAATTTTAGA